ATAGTAAAGTTTAAGATTTTTGATTCGAAAATCTTTCTTGTTTTTCGCCTCGGAAGTAATCATTTGATATCGTTTGGCCAGAAGATTTTTCTCAGTTTGACGATCCGAATGTGAAAGGAACTTTTTAATATACACTCGGTTAATGTAATTCTGAAGGTAGTGACTACGAGCAAAGCAGCTATTTAAGAATCGGTCATTAGAAGTTGTAACAAGGAGGGGTCGACATCTTGGTCTATCAGAAGCTAATTCATTTGGAGAAGATTTAGTAATCTTTCCAAGGCGTCGAATCGCAGTGATATTATTCTCTGGATGCAATCCCATATGTTGCATTATTCCATCAATTTCTGTTGAGTCGTTTTCAATTTGCTTAAAATAAGAGCTTTCGTTTTCAGGAATACCAGTAATAACAAACTGCAGTTCAGTATTAGGTAACGATTTCTTACTGCCGGATACTATATCACTATAAGAAGGTAAAGATTTAGTGACCGCTTCTTTGACATTTTCATTCACGCCAGGGATAACTTCACTGATAAGTTTAGGGACAAGATTTGTAACCGTAGTATTTATTTTATCGCTCAAGTCATTAAATAAAGCATCCAACTTAGCTTCGGTGCAAATTGTTGACTTATCTCCTCTCTGCAGACAGTTGTCACATAGCCACTGGAGATTTGCTTTTGTCCCTAGCCAACGCACATCATCGATAGAAAGTCCAACACAAGGGCCATGAACCCATTTCCCACAAGAAGAGCATCCAATAGCCGAGCTGTCATCATCATTGACGGGCTTCTTGCAGATACATTTAGGACTGGACTCAGAGTTCAATCTGGTGGTCCTGGGTTTAGGGCCCATAATCATTCAATATATGAAACTATTTAATTGCAATGGTTAAGGTTCTGTTCTCGGTTTTCCAATTTAAATTCAGTGTTTATTTCATCAAGTTTGAAATTAGCAACCCAATAGTAGGATATTGTCAGAGTTTTGCCAGGTTTTGCGATTGTGGCCTCCATAATGAATAACCAAATCCTTTTAATTTACGAGATAGGCAATTTTCGAAATTTTTCAAAAATTTCTAGAAAATTTAATTGAAAAAATTTCTCAATTTTTAAAACTTTCACCCTGTAGTTGGGTGCTGTCAGGGTACTTTCAGGGGTTGCGAATCTTGCCTCCAATTCTCACTCTCAAATCCTTGTAATTTTCGACGTTTTTTATGATTTTTTCAGAAAATTTTAAAAAACTTAGATTTTAGAAATTTCCAAAGCGTTGAAGATCATAATCCTCTTGTTGGGTATTTTGAGGGTACTCTAGGGGTTGCGAATCTTGCCTGTGATTATGACTGCTCAAATCCTTGTAGTTTTCGAAATATCACGTTTTTAGGATTTTTTTCAAAATTTTTCAGAGAACTTAGGTATAAATATTTCACAAAACTTGAAAGTATCATCTCTGTAGCGAGGCTCTATCAGGGTACTCTCAGGAGTTGCGAGTTTTGCCTCCCAACATGACTGCTCAAATCCTTATAGTTTTCGAGATATGACGTTTTTTATGACTTTCTCCGAATTTTTCAAAAAAAACTTAGATGTTAAAAAGTTCCAAAACTTCGAAGATATCAATCCTATTATTGTAATCTTTGAGGGTGCTCTCAGGAGGTTGCGAGTCTTGCCTGTGAATTTGGCTGATTATATTATTGTAGCTTCCAGATATGACGTTTTTTGTGATTTTTTCAAATAAATTTTCTTGAAAATTAAATTAGATTTTTTTTTCAAATCTTCAAATTCCTAACCTGTAATTGGGGGGCTGTCAGAGTAATCTCAGGGGTTGCAAAATCGGCTTCCTAATAAGATTGCCAAAATTATTTTTGTTTAAGAGAAGACGATTTTTGTGATTTTCTTGGAAATTTTCAGAAAAATAATTCGTTAAAGTGAAATTCCCCAGCCTGTAGTTGTGTATTTTCAAAGATTGCGAATATTGCCATTAAAAAAGACTGCTCAAATTTAATTAGTTTTCAAAATGTGATTTTTTTTTCTGGTTTTCAAGAGAAATAACTCGTTTAGAAAACTTCAGGTGAAGTTTCTCAAAATCTGAAATTCCCAACGTTGTAGTTGGGTACTGTAAGGAGTTGCAAATCTTGCATCCAAATGCAGCTGCTCAATTGCTTTCAATTTTCCAGATGTGACGTTTCTTAATTCATTATAAACTTAGATATAAAAAAAATGTCACAAGTTTTTATGGTGTTTCAAAAGTTGAATTAAAAAATCGAATGAAAAATTTTACAAAATTTGAAGTTACTCTCAGGAGTTGCAAATCTTGCGTCCAAAAATTGCTTTCAGTTACCCAGATGTGACGTTTCTTAGTTCATTTTAAATTTTTCGAAGAACTTATATAAAATTTCACAAAATAAAAAATTTTGCAAAATTTGTAATTACGAACCCTGTAATTGGGCGCTCTCAGAGTACACTCGAAGATTAGTTTTTTTGAGTTGTTGAAAATTCAAAGCACCGGAGGTGCGGTACACAGTTACAATTAATTATAAATACCAAGCGTAGGTGTTTGAAGTGCTTATAATCGATGATAATCGTTATGTTTTCCCAGAGATTATCATCTCTTATAGTGGGTTACAAGTGATTATTTTCCATATTAAAAATATCTTTAAATTAATTATAATAGATTATAATGTCTTATTTTGCCAAATTTTGTCACTCCAAATGTTTATTTTAATTATATCCTATGAGTTATTTTTTTTCTGTCAATAACAAATTCTCTTAAACTGAGACTTCTGATCTTCAAGTGAGACTTCTGAACTTCAAATTTTACCACAAAACCAAAATTATCCCCTCGTATTAGTTGAAAGGTTCGCGCTGTAGGTGAAAAGTAACTCTTTCAAATAAAGCATGAAACAAAAGCAATATGCTGATGTTTTAGTGGTTGAGAAAACTAAAAATTTGCATCACCAAACAACTAATTAGAAGAAATCACAAAGTAAAAAGATTTGTAATTTTCAATTGATTTGAAAACTGCTTAAACAATTTTCTTGTTTTTTACCCAAATCAACGTCTACGAAAAGTATTAAATGTAAACCATTCAGAAACAAAGTCGGAGACAAATTGAGCAAATTAAAGGTGTTATAAGCGATTATAATGGATTTTTTGTGCAAAAACATAATAATTAGAAAATGTGTTGATAATAATCTACTATTATTGTATCGAAACATAGATGGTTTAACAAGTTGTTACAATCGATTAAAATGTTTTTTTTTATTATAATTTCATTTTTAAAAGAAGAGAGAAGATTCTAACTGATTAATAATGAATTAATTCTTCAAACAAGCAACCGGAGTTAGCATTTTTAGTTTGTCTTTTAGCAATTGGTGGGCGTATACAAATATACGTTGTGGGAGAAGTTTTCAAACTTTAACAGTTAACTGGTTTGAATACAGTACACGTCATGCTGTCTGATTTTTTTGGGCCGGCTAAATATACCCGAATCTAATTTAAGCTTTAGTTATCGATTATAACGGATGTTTATGTTGATTTTTTGACAATTATAATTAATTATAATTACCAGAATCAGGTGTTTAAAGGGTTTATAATTGATGATAAACGTGATATTTTCCAAGAGGGGATAATCGGTTATAATTGTTAATCGTTCATACAAAGAACTCTTTCACCCATTATAATAAATTATAATCTCTTATGTTTTTGCAAATTTTTCTCACACTAAAAATATATTTTTATTATATCTTGTCACACTTTGGTTCAACGGAAAGTAAAGTTTTACCACAAAACAAAAATTATTTGAAAAGTTCCCGCTATAGGTGAAAAATAACTCGTCCAAATGAATCATGAAACTAAAGCAATGTGCTGATATTTTGGTGGCTGAAAAAAACTTTAAAATGTACATCATGAAACAACTCTAATCAAGAAGAAGTGAAAAAACAAACTTTTTAAATTTGTAAAACAATTTTCACATAAACCAACGTCTACGAAAAGCTAAAACTTTAAGCAATTCAGATGCAAGGTGGAAGACAAAATGGACAAAAAAGGATTATAATCGATTATAATGGATTTTTGAGCAAAACCTATAAATTAGAAACTGGGTTTAAAATAATTGATTATAATTGTATCGAAACATGGATGGATTAATCTTTGGTTTATCTTGGTTTATCTTTGGATTAATCATTATAATCGATCAAACAGTATTACAATTGATTTCAAACGGAGAGATTATAATAGATTATTAATTGATTAAATTCGATCTTTTTCTCAATTTCAGCAAGACTGGTACCTAAATCATAAGACAATTGATTTTTAACGCTTGATGAGGGTAGGGTATATATAAATACTCGAAAGTCGGAATATTTCTGAACTTAATGTGCCAATATTGATCTACTTTGTTGATGTTTTGTGGATTCATTATGCTGATACGCAATTTCATGGTACGCGAGCTTATAGTATATAAGATTTGCTGTTTGAAAATTTTAATTTCCTTCCTTTTCAAAGAGAAAGAGCAAACTAGCAATGGTACCCAATTCGAGGTCCATAATTTAGGAATTGACCTACGAAGTCTTGTCGCATAGAAATTTTATACCAGAGTTTACGTTATCCCGGCACGGGATGGAGTCTAGTCGTTAAGTGTCGTCGCGGCCCAAAAAATTTTATGTTTGAGCTGTCAATTTTTTATACTTTTATACTAACTAACTATCTGTCTCAAGCCTCATTATAAACCTAAGTACAACAATTTTGTTCAAAAAGCCTGTTATAAATGCTTTCAGGGCATATTTAATTTGAAACTCAGCAGGCAGAAAAGTCCGGCACTAAACGTTCACTTAATTTGTGATTGATTTACTGTACAAAAAGAATTTCTTTAAGTTATACTTATAACTTGGTTTTAAAGTTATAACAAAAGAGCGAGAGTCTGTGAATAAACTCAAGTTCGCATCTCAAGAACTTGTAATGAAAAAACTGAACCATACTTTTAAAGAGATTTTAAATTTGTATAAAGAATATTAAACGCTTTCGTTATTTTGATAACCATTTTTGAATACTAAGATGTGTTGTTAAACAACACAATAGAATAACAAACCTTTTTCTGCAGTTTATACATGTGTGAAAATAAGGATGACGTAAATTCAAAAGTCACCTCGATTTAATCGCATTATTAATAATTTTAAAAATCAAAATTATAAATTCAACTTTATTGAAAACTCAAATAATTTAGTTAGACTCATGGAAAACTCGTGAAAATTTGTTACTAAATCTCGTCTAAAATCTCAAATTAGGCAGCTTCAAAAATTTAGTATCCATTATGGTTTTCTCTAAATTTAAAAATTGATTTCGATAAGTTTTTATTTTTTTTTTCAATTATTCACCCGTGTAATAACCGGAGCTTTTGGACCAATTATGAGTCAGATGTCTGCAAACTACATCTCCTGGACGCCTTATGGCCCCGTTTTGGTCAGTTCCCTCGATCTGGTCGAGACAAAGCCCCCCAGTCCAGATAAACTTGAAGCGACCAGTGCACAAGATGTAGTAACTTCTGAAAGGTAACGTCATTTTTTCCAGATTTTTCGGATCTTTTTAACTAATTCCCCCCTATTTGGATTTTCAGAAATTCAACTTTGGCGGCCACACTAATAATAGCTTAAAACAATTTTCAGAAAATATATTAATTTAAAATTTTTTCCCATGGGTATTATATAAATAGTGAGTAATACAAATAAGAACGCGCGAAAATGAAAACCCAGTTAATTGTTGACATTTTTGAAATACATATTTTATACAGAAATGGTTGTCAAAAATAATACATGCACAGGGGGGGGGGGGGGGGGGGAGATGGGGAATAGTTAACACGGTCCAAAAGGGGGGGGGGGAATAGTGAACAAGATCCGATTTTTCTATCTATCGCCCGAATATGGTTTAAGCAGCATTTTTGTATGGCCTCAAGCATGGTCTTAACTTATTGTTTTTATGTATGGACCCTAAAAGATCTAACCATGTTTGGTATGACCTAGCTCTTGAGTGTGGTATTAACAGTTTTCGTTTACGGCTTCGAGAAAAAAGCCAAAAAAATTCTGATTTTTCACCATTTAAGAAATGGGAAATATCTTTTTAGGTCTTATCCGTTTGTTTTCCTTTCCTCTGAAAAACCTTGATTCAGTTTGATATGGAATGATAATTTAGCTCTAATTGGAACGATATTTTTTTCAGTTTCAAGAGTTAATATTTCGCATGTCTTGTTTTGTTGGCAGCTTTTTGTGTTACTGAGGCAAATTGAAAGCAAATTAGATGCAATGGCAATAATGCTCTCGAAAATTCAAATATTGTCATAAGCATATTGTCATAAAGTTGTCTTCTGGAAATCAATGAACTTTATTCTAGCAAGAAGCGACGATTACTCGGTAAAAGGTACAGAATGTTTCGATCGATGTTATCTTTGAAAAGTAAAACAATGAGGAAACACATGAAATGTTATTAAAAAAATATCAGGACATTTGTTTTTTTTTTCAACCCGAAAAAAATTTCAAGCAAGTTTTCTGTGATCGCAATATTAATTATATAAAACTGTTTTCCAGCTCATTAAGGCCGAGTGGGGAGGAAAAAACCCTCAGGTTTGAGACAAAATCACCCGAATTGATTTCTTCCAACGCCAAAAATGAAGGACTTTCTGTTCAATTGCCAACAACAATTATTGAGGAAAACAAAACACAAAAACTGAAAGAAAACAACAATAACAACAAAAACCAAGGAATTAACAATATTAGCAGTCCTAGTAATAACGAAAACAACAATAATGCCAACAATAACAGCAATAATAATAACAAAATCAGAGCCAGAAATGTGAACACTCTTTCGCTTCCGAACCAAATAGCCGAACAGCCTCCCTCGTCTCATCTGACTTCCCCGACTACTCCGACTCCGATTCTAAAAGACCCGAGGCGAGGTTCGTTCGTGGCAGACGCGACAGCTGGGGATGATCCTAGTAAGCGAAGACTTTCGTTTTTCGATCCAAATGCGACGTCATCGAAACGAGCCTCGCTGGTTGTGGATAATTTGGAACGAGAACCAAGAAGGGTTAGTTTTTTTCCGAAAATCAAAATTTAATCACTAATTCTTTTTAAAAATGGTTACGTTTGATAACGTTTTTAAAATTGGTATTTGAATAAATATGGTTTTAAATTAAGTTCGAATGTTTTAACAACTGTCTGCTCAATAATGTTTTCTCAGCCTAGTTTGCAAATGGGCGAAAAAGAAAAGCCGAATCAATATTGCTTGCAATAATTGTGTTTCGAACTAATACATCCAAATGAGTTCAAGTCAAGTGCAAAAGCTTAATTCATGATGATTCACTACAATTTCGATCGTCAAAGTGTCGGAAAACTAAATTGGTCGAAGTTTTTTGGATTGCAAAAAACTGCGAATTTTCATAAAAAAAGTTATCACGGACAATTTCTGGGAGTTAATTAATTAGAGGTACACTGTGTTTATATCATACAAAATACGAGAAACAGCCAACGAAAATACTCAAAAATGATACTCGAAGTTATATCAATTAACACCTCAGAGGACAAGAAAATTTGTCTAAGAAAGCATGATGATGATGATGATGATGATCACGTGTTTTAGCTCTCGCTGTATGGTCTCGACAAAGGGGAATCATCCGGTGCACTGGCAGATGCATCCCGAAGATCATCCACTTTTCTCGAGGTATGAAAACATTCTGTCTTCAGTTTCTTTGAGGTAAATTCAGCAGCAAAAAGTTGGAACAGACAGAATTAATAAAAATTGAGAAACTGATTATTTTTGAAGAAACTTTGCGTGCGACAAACTTACTTTTTCAGACAGAATGATTCAAGGGTGTCTCGAAAGTTTTTTTTCAAGGTGAAGATTTTGACCAGCAGATTGTAAGACGATATGTTTTTTTTTTCTAAAATAAACAATTTCATTGTTTATCAAATTAGTCTTTTACCGCAAAATGTTACTTTATGTCAGCTAGAGAGCGGGTTTGTTGAATTCCGAACGACTATTAATTCGTTCAGAAAAAAATTGTATGAGAAACAAACATCAGATAAAAAATTTTGTCGTATTCCGTATTAATGGTTCTAGTTGAAAAAATTGGCCATAGCGCAAGCAGCTGAAGTTGATGTGTTATATATGTATATTTGTGATGCAAGCAATTGATGACAACGACAGTTGAAGTGTTGAAATTGTTCGAAAGATATGGTCGTTCAAATTTACGGTTCTGTTCTGCTGTATACGGGTTAACCCGAGTTTGTCTGGACCGAGAGAAAATTAGTTTGATTCTTAACGTTTGGATAATAGATTGAAATAGCTAAAAATCTTAAAACCTTCAAAAAACACAGCCTTAGCACATACTCAATAGAATTCTTAAGCGAAGTCATTTGTCTTGTGACCTTGAAACGCGAAAAAAGCCCCTGACCGATGTAAGCGAATGGTCAGTCAAATGAAAACTCACGTGGAAACAAGTTGTTTATTTTATAAAAGTAGGCAAGTTTTAGACAGACAAATTAATGAAAAGTAGCAAATTGATTTGTCTCGGAACAATATCGCAAAAAAAATTGTTAAGCCCAATTGTATGCCTAAAGGTTGACTGAAACACCGATATTGTATGCAAAACTGTCTATAAACCGCAAGATAGCTGTTCAATATTAATTATTTCTGTCCGAACTTTTAGCAACTCTAAATATCTGCAATCACATCAAAAGTTGCCTCGGCCATTTGTAACCTATTTTTGTTGGATCAAGCGAACAATATCCCACCTAAATATTTTTAAAAAGGTGATTGTTCACTTGATTAAAAGTAAAATATTTCAGTCAAGCAGATTTGAGCATAGTGCATGCAGACCTTATGGCTTAAAATTGCCATTTAGATTCAGGAGGAGATTGTTCAATTGGTCTATTAAGGGGGGGGGGAGAGATTGTTCACATGGGCCCTTTTTCTCCAGGTGCCCCAGACGGATGCCCAGAGGCGGAGACGGAGAAGCAGTGCCCAAATACCCACTGGGGCAATAATGGACAAGAAGGCCAGAGATCAGTTGCTCGGTTTCCTCTTTCGAGACGACCCTCAACTACTCAAGGTAAGTTCTGAAATCTTTTTGAAACAAGCAAAAAAATACAAAGCTACTTCTAGTAGCTGCCGGTTTTTTCTACTCTGAAAATAATTAGCGAAAAAAAGTGTAACTTAAATTTGTCCAAGATGAAAAAAAAATTTAAAAATATCGATGTACTAAAAAATCCCCTTTATGGTATATACTTAGAATCTCTACCCCTATAAATAAATACAGTAAATTAGCGCTATGATAGCTTGCATTGAGAGGTTGAATTTTGCTGCATTCTGATTGGTCAAAAATTTGGCTATTTTCTTCTTCTTAGAAATCTCAACCCCCGCCCTCAAATCAATTTTTTAACGCAATTTAAAAAAGTGAAAAGCTATAATTAACTTAATCTAATGAAGTGTGAACACTTGATGTTATGAGTGATAGTTTTTTTTTGCAGACGGAGATCCCGCCTATTGAACCCCCTAGACGACGAGTAAAGCAAGTGGATTTGAAGAAATTCACCCGCATAGACGACCACACAGAATCTGTAAGTTCAGGAACTCAATCAGTTTTGTACTTTTTTCAATCGAAGTTTTCATTCATCTTAAATTGTTAACTTGAAATGTGTTTCTGTTTGGTATGGTTTGCCGTGTGATATAATAATACTGATTTCTCGAAAAAAAATCACTTTTTGACATGTTTATGTTTAAATTAGTGCATTTTGAATGAATTCTTATTGGCGCTCCATCCTTCGAGAAAGAACCACGTGATCTAATTGTTTTGTTCACAACTTCTTCAGTCTTCTGTCTGTTTTGTGTAGATCCCGCCCGCCTCCGAGATAGACTTCGACACCATCCTGCATTTCTTATTCGACAGTGATGACGTCAGAACTGACATTCAGAAGTCACGTGCAATCTTCCACTACATCACCACTAGGTAGGCAACAATTTACAATGAAAATAAAAAAAAGATATTTGATTGCTTTTCTCCAAAAAAATGTACCAAAAAAATTGTTTGTTATCCTTTTCCTACAGAGTTTTTCAATTCAAAATTTATATTCAAAAAAGTAAGATTCAACAGTGTAAAACAGTAATGAATACATGTTATCTCTCTTAAGTGACAGAACAAGAAACTTTGAAACCATTGTTAATTGACAAAATAAAAATATTCAAGATTGGTACGGACTCTTAAATTTTTTTTCATATGAATTTTAAACTCGGCAATCTGTTCAATTTTTGACAGTTTCGCGTAATTGAATACTTGAAGAATAATCTTGTCCGAAGCGTGTGAAATTTGCTGAAAATATCACAATTAACAAAGCTGGAATGAAGAGACTCACATACAGTTTTTAGCCTAATATTACTTCTACCAGTTTTTGAAAAATTATTCGGAAAAGAACTAAATTGTAAAATTGTATATTTTTTCTCTTAAAGTCAAGTTTTTTCACATAAACGAAAAGTGTTTTTGTCCGCAAGATAAACAGTTGATGCAATTAAAGAATTTCTAGAATCAATTGAAGTCTTTTTGTCAATAAAAATAGTTTTTGCACGCTATTTGATTTATGAAAAGCTTCTGTTACTCTTGAATTTGTGATCTTGTTTCAAACATGTTCAAAATAGGGAATGACAAGAACAAAATAGTCAGTTTTAAAGTTTTGTTGGAGAAACGTTACCAACGTATTGAAATAAATCAAACAATTACCAATGAACTAAATTTTCAATATGGAGTTTATTAGAAATGATTTTAAGTTCCATTTTTATTTCTATTGTTCTTTTATGATTTTATTCGTATTAAAAAAATGCTTTTTGCAGCTGATACTAATTTATAATGACGAAGTTTCGGAAGAAATGTATGATCTGGATAGAAAAATGGATGACAGCGAATAAAGTTACAAAGAATCAGGACAAAACCAAAACAATTGCAATCAACTTACAGAAATTCATGCATCAAAATGCAGGGGATTGTGTTTGAAAAAGAAAATGACGTTAGATATTTATGCATTCCAATTGATTGCTTTTTCAGTTTTTTTGAAGATAATCAAAATTTCTAAAAATTAGTGCGCTAAATTTATTTCATTCATCGGCCAAATCAGAATCATGATGCTGGTTGAACAACTCTTTAGAGCGTACAAAAGCTAAAAGCTACATACATCCAAATTAACAATAAGGAATACTTATTTACGGATTCGCCTCAATAACAAATAAAGATATACTGCAGAAACAGCATAATTTTTATTAAAATTAATCACAAGGAAAAAAACTTTGGAGAATGAAAATTGACGAGACGGAACTCAATTTTGAACTACAAACTACGAACTACGTTTTTTGCGAGGTATAAAATGTCAAACAAGGAAAGCCGGTTACTGTGCAATTAGAACCGAATGTTCCGACCATAGTCCAAAAAAAAAACAGCGAAAAACATAGTTTTTTCTACCTGTGTGATAAAAAAGATCTGAAAGAAAATCGTGAAGGTAGGGTTGTTCGACAATCATAGTAAAATATGCAAGTTTGACAACACTGTTGTAACAAAAATGATTAAGAAAACAAAAAAAAGACAAAAAAATTCAAAAAAGTTTTTTCAAATTTTTTTTTTCATTTTTTGATCTCTTTAATTCCCAAAGGTCGCTAAAAAGTTCGAATACATTTTTGTTTGAGTAAAACTAAGCTCGATTTAGAAAAATAATTTAAACCTGTTTTCTCAAAAATTGGACCGTTTTTGGTAATTTTTTATTGTTTGAATATGATAACCTTGTGACCCATTCCCATAACTATTTGTGATATTCGGAGTTGCGTGGAAAATAAGAAAAATAGATAAAAACTAAAACACGTACGAATACAAAAACTAACAAAAGTCATAAGAAAAGAACATTCGTGTCTAGGAGTAAACAATTTCACAACAACAAAAAATAAGTAAGAATCTCTTAAGTGATACGAGGATTAGAACATTACAAACCAGATCTGTAATAAATTTATTATAAAAAGTAAGTGAGCGAGTTTGGCTTCTTTTCAAAAAGATTGTCAATTTAGCTTATAATATTTTGTTAAGGATAATACAAGGTTCAGCAAAAAAATCATACAGTCTTGTTCATAAATTTAAAGATGTATACCAAACATAAGGATAGTCGACTCTGCATATGTTTTTGGGTGAAATTTTGCTGAAAAATTTAAAAAGTTATTGTAGGTATTCATGGTTTTGATCTAAACAGTTTTTCCAACTACATGAACGGTTTTCTTGAATTTGTAGGGTTCAACTGGATAAAATTGAAAAAATATAAAATCGGACCTTTCAAATTGCTCTCAAATGGCGCTTGTGAACAGGTTTGTATCATAATGGTGGCTTTTCGAATCGGCGGTACTACTAAAATTGTACATTCATAAAAAATATGCTCTCTAATCTGCTGGATTCGCAAACGGTTTTATTAATTATAGATTGTTAACGTCTCTTAAAAGTTTATTTTTCAGGGGTGAAACGTGTGCCAAAAATGTCTAACCAGTGCTTCAGAAAATTGCGAATTCGAAATTTTGGTCAGCATAAAAAATATGTTTTACAGTACTCTCAAAGTAGTCTCAAAACATTGAGAAAATATTTGATCCAACCCTTTTTATATATTATTGCAATAAAAACGTATACGCAATCTTGAAACTATTTTAAAAGCTTTTCGAGTTCTGAGTGTTTCTGAATTTTAAAATTTCATGGCTTATTTGAACACTCTTTCTTGTTCTGATTAGGACTATAGAGACTGTGCCGTCTCTGGACGTGCTGCCGGAAATCACCCCCCTCGCCTTCCTGGCTGGGATCCGGAGGGGGTCGTTTTCGCTCTACACTCTCATGTTCGAAATATTTTGCAGGTAAGAGATAATTAGTAATTCTGTTTCTTTTAATCGCGTTAACATCCTCCCTCAATTGCGCATAAAATATTTTGAAAATGGATCTTTTTATCAATCCCCCGTTTTCATGAAAAGGGGGGAGATTGTTAAATAGATCAAAATGGTCAATTTTTCGACCAATCAGAATGCAGCAAAATTCGAGTTCTCAAAATAAGCTCTATTGCTAATTTACTGTATTTATTTATTGTAAATTAGATCCTTGAAAATTGACAAACAACAAATAGAAAAATATGTCGACCAATGTTTTAGTGGACCCAAAAATACTTAAATCACCCCTCAATCACGCCTTCGATAAGGTAAGATTTTGTAAAATTGCAAAAAAATGTCTTTCACTGGCTGTTTTTAAGGCCTTTTATGGAATTTTTTGAGGTCAATCAGCCAAAATTGAGTATTCAAAAAGTTAGATAAGTTCAACACTTTCAAAAAGATCCCGCTTTTTTAGGTTAATAGCTCAGATATCCTTGAAATTGGACCATATGATCTAATGACTTTCTCTCAGGCTTCAGACTGGGTTCTAAATTGCACCAAGTTTTGTATTTTTCTGATTATAAGCCTGAAAACAATTTATTATGATTATCATTATGATGATTATTATAATTAGTTTTATTTTTTTTTGTTATTATTATTATGATCAGTTTTATTATTTTTTATTGTTATTATGATTATGATTGTTATCATGACTTTTTTCCTAGGTATGCGTCTATTCCGTGTGTGACGATAGAGGGGTGGGTGAAACCGAGGAATTTCAGGCCGGGGGACAAACTGGGCGATCACTGCCTTCATTCGTGGAATGCTGCCTACTTAGACGGCGAGTGGTTCTTGGTCGACATCGCGTTCGGTATTTATTTTAAAGTTTTTTTTTCATGCGCGAAGAACCGAATGCATGAACATTCTCAACCAATCAGCGCCCTTTAACTTTTAAATGACCCTGATTGGTTTAGAATTTTTGCGCATATAGACAAACAGAGGTGATAAATCAAAAGATATCTGTGAATAAGTTATAAATCAGTAAGTTTAAGACAGTTAATTTTTAAATTGTCTTAAACTGAAAACTGACTTTATGAATTCAGATAGGCTGAAAACATTTCGCGCATTCGGTAGGCTTTGAATGTTAGAGTTTCTTGAGCAAGCATTTGGAGCGAGAAAATGCGTTGAACCTTTGTCTGTGAATTTCATAATAGCAACAAGACTGCTCGTGTCACGGCAAAGCCCTGAATGTTCCGACTGCCTTATAACGTCTGTGGAATAGTTGGAACCTGATCTAAACTACATTTTATGATTGGATAAATTAGATATTTTACCAATGTAAAGTATTTAATATTAACCAATCATGATCCATCTAACTAACAATCCACTTATTTGTAAGTGCTGAAATTACTTGTAATTTCAGCACCAGAGAGATTTGAATTTAACTTAGAAGTTAGTTGAACTCTCCCGAGTACTTCAGCAGCCGCCATAAACCAGTATACCCTAGATCTATTGAGCCTAGCAGAGACTAGTTAAACAACCTGAGACTAGATAGTATAAGAGTAAGATTAGGATCGGTATTAGACTAAGAAGTTGCACGAATCTATCCGGCCGAAAATAAGATAGCGTGACGAGCAGACGGTGTACCCTATCCGAAATTACTCTATGAGTTATACCCATCGGTCCTAACTCATCTGGTGCGACCATAAGTCTCGAACAAGACCTTAATAGCTTAGAATTAACCAATAATAGATTAGAATTTAGACAAAACATTTACAAAATGTTATACGACAATAATTTAATCGAAATGTCTCTACGACTCAATAGATCAGAGCCAATATTCCGAACGATAACAGAACTACCCGGAATTGGAAGAAGACCTCGAACCAGAGACGACATACGACAAAGCAGAAACTTACCATATAGTTATATGATAGTTCGGCAAAAGCCAGAACAAACTTTTGTATTTAGAATACTACTAGCAATGAATTTAGATTTTCATTTGCAAACATAAAATTTTGAAGTCAATCTTCAAAATCATTTCAGGCGCTAAACAAAATTATTAATATACAATAACGATTGATAAAAAGATCTCAGATCGTTTTGCTAAATTCTGCAGTAATATACAAAACATGTTTGAAAAATATTTATTGAAAAATCAAAATAAAAATTAGTAGCATGACAATAAATGGTTAGTAATTATAAATCATCCTGTTGTTCCAGCTTCATCACCTAAACATAACAGCATTCATAAGCTCACTAATATCATAAAAATACTAAATCTTTTCTTTACACAAATTTAAAACATTTTAAACTTAAATTCACTTAATTTTAAAATCAGATCATCAAGGCTTACCCTTGGATCTTAAATCATTTTCTATTTAATTAAATTTAAAACTTGATCATCAAGGCCTATCCTTGGATCAAAAAGAACAACTTTGTTCTCCCCCACCCACTTAACTAGTGTCTAACGACCTCAAACGTCGATTCACTATCCAACCCTTTCTAAAAACCCAGGACTAATAGAAATTTTTGAACAAAACTAATCATTCAAATTAGGATAAACAGTGAAGAACTTCGGTTATTCATCCTTCACTTGATCCCCCCTCTTACCAGACCCAGGATAAATCTTAAACTTAGTAAGTTTAAAATAGTATCTAACGAACTACTCGCGTTCTAATTATACCTGAACCTTGTGGATCGATTTACTATTCTCCAACCCTGAACACAATCACTACCCTTAAGTAAGATTAAGTAAGTTAACACCTTAGCTTATACTAGCCACGAGAAAGTATAAAATCATTCTTCGGAATCGATATACTTTTCTCCCCAACCCTGAACAAATAGACCCAGGTTAGGCTAACAAAAAAATCGTAAAGACTAACAGTTTAAGCAAATAGAAATCATTTAACAACCTTTTGCATCCGTCATCCTAAACCTTATGTCATTTAAAAACCTAGGAAATAAACAAACAATCGTTTTACACAATTGTGAAATAGATAACAAAAAATACGACCTTGTAATCACACCTCATACACAAACAGTTGGATATATTAGAACAAAACGACAAACATTAAAGAGAAAAATAATAACTAAACAAAGACAAATAACACGAAAAAGATTTTCAAAAAATCGAAACGCATTTTCAGAATCAGAAACCAACAGTTTAGACGAACTTTTTAAACTAAAAGAATCAATAGATAAAAATTGCCCAATTCACGATCAATTATATTTCTCTGACTCAGAAACAACTTCAAATTCATCAAAAAGAGGAAAAAGAAGAATAAAAAAGCAGTATAAACACAAACCAGTACATTTATGCAATTGGAATCAACCAATTAGACACATTGATAATTACATATTAACAGTCATCGAACGAAAAAATGAGCTCAACGCACACCCCAGGTGAAGAAAGTCCAGATGATGATGATATTTTCCCCTTTATCGTAGATGCAACCACTGATAGAGGACAGCATATATTCTGCAAAAATTTACTCTTAAATTTGTTTGAACCCGGAATCAGTCCATGTAAAACAGTTCCCAGATGTAAAAATCAAAAGACAAATTATCGATCACTATCTAAAAGATATATGCAACCTAACACAACAATACGGAATCTACTCCATAGAATTCAGCTCACCAAACCAGAATCACAGTAAATATATAATTCAAACAGACGACCTTGATTTAGAATTTTCAAAAGTATTCTCAGAATATATAAAAAGCATCCAATATCATAACTCACAAAGAGCAAACTCCATATTCACCAATGAAGTTTTTGCGATAATATATAGTTATATCTCGATATTAGAAAACGAAATCCAGATACCAAATGTCTCACCGACAGAAACATCTAAACATATAAGAGTACGACATGAAATCACACTACTCTCTAGTTTTCAAAATATAATTAAAGAAAATTTCACGAAAGATGAAGTTTCACAACATACAAAACACGACTTACAAAAAATTTTGGCATGGTTCATAATAGATTATTTCACACATAATATTGATTTAATTTCACAAGCAAGAAAAAATTTTAGACCCCAAAACTCAAACGATGATACTGCCATCACAGAACAATCAGACTATGTTTGGGACCCCGAATGGTCTCATCCCGCATCCATAAACTTCCCACAATCAATCTCAAGTCAAGCAATAAGTACGATATCTTATGTAAGAGATTATGTACGAGTAATACCATTAACCATTGATGCAAAACCATTAAACTATAATACATTTTTACCCGATATGCAAAATAATAGTTTAAACTCTACAGTCATACACAATGAAAACCTCAATGGAACTAGGAATCTTACTCAACAAGATATCCAGACACCATCACACTTCATAAATGAAGAAATCGTACACACAACAACTACACAACAAAGTATTTCACCAATACGTCCAAACTTAACAACACCAAGAAATACAAACCCTTCACAAACACAGGTAACATTACAATCAACCGTTAAACCTTCGGTTGCCCCAAAATATTCACACATGGATTACCAAACATACAGACCCATGACAATACCGCAAAAAACACGCAAAACGTTCACTAGAAACAACTTTGCAGATCATAATTATAATTACACACATCCATCAAAAACAAATTACCAACCACGAAAAAATTTTAGTAATTATACAAGATCTCGAAACTGGGATAACCCAATGGCACCACCTAATTCAGTAAATTTCCAAACAAATTTACATCCTCCACAGGATCGTAGTGAAAACTATCCATTTTTTCAACAAAATAAAAATAAAAAACAAACATCTTATCAAATGGATTACTTATCCTCAGATGATGATTTCTTACAACCAGATATATTTGCACCTTATAATCAAGAATATCGTGGACAAGGAATACAGAAACCACATACATATAATAGAATTTTTTCTCCACAACCAATAGATACACAAAACCAACAACCAATTCAACAACAAAACCCAATTAATACACAATCTTTTCAACCAATTCAGCAACAAAACCCAATGATTGCAAACTCGTACCAACCAACACAAATGCAAAATGAAATACCACTCCCATATTATCTTCAACAACACGAAATAACAAGAAATCAACTTTCAAATTTTTCTCAAATGCCAAATGCAGCAGAATCATTACAAATGACAATGAATCCATACCTTATGGGTGGATCATCAATAACATCAAATAAACCTTTAATGGTATTCACAGGAACAGACCCTGAATATTCTGTAGAAGATTATTTAAATGCAGTAACAGCAAATTTGATTTTAAATATAGGACCTGAACCAATTAATACGCCACTACATCAAAACTGGATACATAGACGCACAGCGTTAATACAAACAACTTTAGATGGCGCAGCCCAAAAATGGTTTTCAGTATTGCCTATAGAAATAAAATCAAATTGGAATAGGTTTACACAAGAATTATTCAAAAATGTTTGACTCCGAAAGAAACAAACAACAACAAAGAGTTTTATGTAATGAAATTCGCAGATTACCAAACGAAACCATCAAGCAATTAGCAGTACGAATCGAAACACTAGTTCGAAAAGCATATTCTTTAAATACACATGACTATAAAAACACAAAGATGACAGAAATCTTAATGATGACCTTAACACCACAATTAAGGAAAATAGCAATAAAAAAGAGAGCATCCCATCCTTCTTCAATTCGAGAACCCGATTTAGATTTTCGAAAACTAGTAGACAAACTAGGACAAGCAGAAATCACAATGAAACTCGAAGAAACGGAAAATCTGAAATTACAATACGTTAACAGAATTGAAACAGCTTCCACAAATATAAACAATATACAGGAATCAGATACAGACCTCGTTGAAAAAATCACTGAAATACTCAATATTTACGAAAA